CGAATAAATTTTTACACTAAAATCTATTTTTGCTCAGATCAATCTTACAGAATGTATGTTTCTGTCAAATGACTGTATTAATTGATCAGTATGACTGAATTAATTTTTTGATCCATAACATAAAATTTTGACATATCGATAGTTAGACATAGAAGTTTGCTTACTTATTAGCTTTATTTCGATATTTCACTGCTCGTGGTGTCCCATGATGAACATCGAATAAGCTTGATCGATTGCCTAAATCTACCCTTGTAACCATACTTGAGGAATCTCGAGTTGACATGGGTGATTTTAATTCTTGACTTGATCTTACTGAAGAAACACTTGCTGGACGAGATAAACAATCATTTACCTGAAATTCGATTTTAAATTTTGAACTAATAACCATATTTTATTGTTGTCAGTAATAATGATATTTTTATGTGAAATTTTGACGCGTAATAACAAAAGTAAGTAAAGTCTAATTTGCATATTGTATGCAGCGCAAATAATGGATTCAATTTTTAGCAATTTTTGTCAAACAATAACATTATAAGTTAAAATAATAATTCTGCTACTTAGTACAAAGCTCTACCACCTAACTACTGAATCATTTTTTGGCGTTTCCAGAAAAATATTGTTTTCACGCTAAATTTAGTAGTCTGCTTTGCAAATTATACTTCACTTACTCTTGCTATTACACGTGAAAATTTCACATTAAAATTGATCACTTTTTTCAATTTGCTACAATTTTTTGGGAAAATAACAATGTAACTAAAATTCTAATGTGTTACTACTTCTTCAAATGAAACCATATGAATGTAAGAAAAAATATGCAAATATAAAAAATCGACAACAGTGGAATGATTAACAATTTCAAGCATAAAACTATTAATACCTCAAGTTTTCATAACTTTGTATAATCGACTGACAGCTCACTCAATCAATCAATCAATCAATCAATCGATCAATCAGTGAGTCAGTTAATCGATCAACAAATTATTATTCAATCATTCAATAAAATATTTGAAATGAAAATTTTTGAAGTTTAAAACAACTGTATTATCTTTTTTTACTGAGATCTAAATTAATAATTTTAGGTCTTGATTAAGCAAACTTTCAAAGCGAAAATTCCAGTTTCTTCAATAGCTTATTATTAGATTTTAAATCAACGTAATACAGATCAAATCGATGCTCTGTTCAAAGTTAGCTTTGCAATGAATTTGATCAATCAAATAGTATCTTATATTTTTTCTTAACTTCTACCACAATAAGCACTTATTATACATTAGGAATTCATGATCAAACCTGAATAATTGTTGGCCCACAAGTCTCTACTAAATCTTCTGTATTCGTAATTACATCTAATATCTGTTCTTCTTCATCCTCAAGTAAGCGTATTGGTGCTGCTGTTAAATGATACATGCTACGCTTTGCATATTTTTGTAACAGATTTTGCCACCTGAAAAAGTGCAAAAAAAATTGCTGTTTTCAAAATCTAATTAAAAAAAATTAATCAACTATCAAATTTTTAATCTCTGTTCTTTCCCTATGAAGATAGGCTGATGTTCTTGAAAAAAAGATGAAGCTGATATTTATTCAGCTAACCTCTAATTAATATTAAGATTTTCGAAATTAATACCATTAACTAAATATTAAAATTTGTTAGCAATTGATTATCAAAAACTTTTTGTGCATACTAACTACCAGCTTTCATACTTTTTTTCTTTATTCAGGGAATTTCTATCTCTAATTTTGAATTACGACTTTTTGATATGCTTACATGTGAATTTTTTTCAGAATTAAACTCTGAAAAATTTAGTAAACAATTAAATTATACTTGTCTATATTGGATAAAAATAGTCATGATGGTCAAATTTATTTTTTTAGCTAACAAAATTACTGACTAACCATCGTATTTCTTCAGTAGAATCTGCTTTCACATAACAAATGGGTACGTGTTTATTAGTTATGCCATCAGTTTCAGTATTTGAGTTACTATTCGGGGTTTCATTTTGAAAAGCTACTAAGATACTATGTGAATGACCCGTGATAGCATCTGCTTCACAAACTCGAACACAGCGTTTCATATCCATTTTGACTTGCGGAACAGTTTCAGGCTGAAATTAATTTAACACTGAAAAACTTAGCATTATTAGCATGTAAAAAAATAAAAGTAAATTAAAAAAAATAATAATGAACTAATCAAACAAGTATTTTCAGCACTAGATAGTCAAATACTCTAATTTGCTCAAGTACTATTTGCATTGACAATCTTAATTTACATTGTCATCAAGAGCATAGCTCAGTTCACCATCGTCATATAATGTAAAGCATCGACGCTGCCATCTCTATAAATTAATACATTATTATACCCAACATATAATTACTTATATGAATTTATTAGTATTCCTGAGAATATATAAAATTTAAATGTTTAAATTTGAAAGTTCTGAAAATAAAAGCTCCTTAATCTTGTTTTTTGTTTAATTTTATGAAAAAATTTAACCTTTGCAGAATGTGATGGTTGAGAAAAGTCAATATTTGGTGGAGCAACATATAAAAAACCACAAGCTGTCACCTTACGATCCATCATCAATGACTTAAATTAGTCAGACAAATTAATGCAAAAAAATATACAACAAAAAATTGTTTTCAAACAATATAACACTTACGTGATGAACAATTTTTCAAATGTAAAAAAGCGAAAAAATTTTATAAGCGACATTGAAAACATGAAAAAAAATTAAAATAATAGAGTGTTTGTAAACAAAAACAACAAAATTTGGTTCTTAACTTTGCAATAAATGCAATCTGAAAT